GAGTTTTGTTGCTGATTTGCAAAGGTAAAATGAGACACTTAACTTTGGAGAAGTTGCTGACTTATTAATAAAGGATCAAATTGTCAGATAGATACTTTGTTGAAAAATGAGAGACATATTGCTAGAAATTAAAAACCTTTATTGAAGCAATTGAAATATCTCTAGCCACAGGGATTATCTCTGAGTTGAATTTTGCATATTGTATGGTGGGATATGAATACCCAATTGAGATGGATTAAATCCATGGAAATTGCAGTGGGGAAAATTTGATTCCAAGTTTGTAGCTCTACCAAATGAAATCCCATCCACGATTCATTTAATAATTAAAGAGGCATAATCAATTAGCCTGGATTGATAATTAGCAGTGACTGCTTGAGGCTGACAATAATATCATCAAGACTTCAAATCTAGAGTTCAGTCCAAGAAGATGCAATATAAATTATGCTGGATTATCAGGTCCAATCAGCATTATCAGGTCATCATGGTTGCCAAAAAGTTTTTACGATTTTTTTAAATCAAGGAAAGATTTATGTGTGTCATATATGCTCTTTCAGTATTTTAATGGAAAAGACTTTTGTTACAAATCTCCTGGTCTCAACACCCAAGTACAGCTGATACATTTTATGGAATGTATCATAACTGCAGTTTTATGGAACTGCAGTTATTGGGCACGTTGAGAGCAGTTTTATACAAGTAGTCCTCAATTTATGTCTCTAAGTGAACCTGGAAGACAAACACCCATGTGCCATTTTTCAGCTTTTTTCACAATGTTATGTGAACCCATATCAATCCTAATGCATTGTAACTTTGAATGGCTATAAAATGACTGGTTATTAAGTGAGGACTACTTGTACCCAAAATATTCTTCTCCTCTATATGGCACACCTTCTTCATCTTTGCCATTTAGTTTTTCGTATTGAAGCCTCCAAGATGGCCTCAGTCAGACCAGCTTCAGAGTTGACAACTACATCTGTGTATTTATGAATTTATTTTAATTAGTATCGATTTCCCACCAGGCCTATTGTAAGTTAAATGTATACATTTTGCAGTCTACATGAATTTCCTTCTCCCCTTTCTTTCTTTATGCAGTTTGGGTCCCTTTTCTTTCTTTATGCAGTTTGGGTAGAAGCAAGGCATTTCTATTATTTAGTGTTTAAATAATATGCATTTGCTTCACATGCAATGAATGTCTATTAGCATTTATTGATATATAGGCATAATTATTATAAGCACTTTATTTCATTTTTAGTTGGACATTCTGCATCTTAATTACTGTAATTAGGGTTTATTTCAATTTCCAATACTGTTGAATTTCAACAGTAAAACAATTAGTTGGGAACCACACCCAACCACACCCAATATAAAAGAATCAGTTGGGAACCACTTCAGATATCACTGAGATGCCACTTGGAGCCCAAGCAAACTGGATTTCTCCAAAGGTGATTCCTATGCTATTCAGTGAGCTATAAAGGCAAAAATAAAATAATATTAATAGCATTGGAAATCTGCTTAGCTTCAATTAAGAACAGTTTTTGATGTCTCAAGTCTATTTTGCTTGTAGAGAATGGGAGACTAGGGCAGTATGAAGCACATTTCCAGAGTAGAAAACAGGAAGGAAAAGTATGATGGGTCCTTGGTGCTTCCTGGGCTTGGTTGTTTTCTTGCACACATTTCATTACCCCAACTAGGTGACATCATCAGTGCTACACCAGACTAGCACTTACATAACCTAATTTGGGTAATGAAATGTCTGCAGGAAAACAACCAAGCTCAGAGAGCATCAAGGACCCCTCATTTGAACCCTGAGCTCAAGCTTGATTTTCACATATTTTTCATTAAAGAAAAATATGCTAAAATATGAAACTATGAAATCTGATAACAATCAGAAAAAAACTTTGAAATCTTGTAGCAACTTTGGGTGGTAAATCATTCTAGCAAGTGACACCTAAGGAACTGAAATCCATGATACTACTGATACATAGAAAACAGTACCATTACTTTTAGAGCAGTTGATGGGGAGCTGGAACAAAATTCAGTTCAGGAGGACTGCAACAGATATTGACAAGAGCTTAAACTTCTTTAAGTTAGGTATTGGTGAGATACTTCCTCCACCCCTTTCCTCTTCATTTTTTTTCCAGCAGGAATATGTTTGCTGTTAACTTCCTGTCTTCTCGTTTGCTTAGTTCTAGTTATGATATGTTAAAGGTGCTGGAACTAGAAGGAATAGCCAGAAATAATGTGGTAAAAGAGAAGAGAAGCAGGAAATTAATTGGGATGAAATGTTTTTGTCCTAGAGCAGAATCTGTTGGATGCAGCATTTTCAAACATTGTTTCATGATATGGGAAACAATTCAGCTCATATTAAATATCAGAAGTTCATATGTATGCAAAGGATAACCCTAGGCCTTGAAAAATCTGGATTATAACAAACTCATCCCTTCATGACAACTTTCTTCTCCTAGAAGCAAACATGGTCCACTGAGGGAGAATCTAAAGTATTCCTGTCAGACATTACCTACCTTGGGCTAATTTTCAGCTATCTGTGGCTATTTAGAAATATTGTCCTGAGATGTTATTATATATCTATTGAATTCTTGTATTAGTATCTTTTGATTCAGTATATTTCAAATTTTACATCCCAGTGGATAAAAACAATTCTTTCAGTTTTATTACAACAGCAATACTTTATACAGCAGCTTGACGCTGAAAGAATGCTTTCACATTAAGGTAGTTTAATTATGCCTGGAGAATAGAAATCTTCATGTCAATTGCCAACCAAGAAATTTCCCCAAGGTTTTTGATGGAACAAATATTAGCAATATAATATATATCATAGGTGAAACAGAATGATATTAAAAAGAAATATACAGTGGACCAACATGAAGAGAAAAAAATTGTCAGGAATTAAACCTGGGGCAAAAGGGTAGTTCTAAATTTTATTTTATGTGGTGCATTAAAATACAATGATTTCCTTGTAGTTAGACTTTAAGTTGGAGAAAGTCACTTTAGAAGTATCTCCACATTTGTCTTGTCACTTTTTAACTATTGTGAGATGAGAAAAATTGAAGTAATTTTACAGAAATTATTTTTTGAAGTATTTTTTTTAGAAATATGAGGTAAAATGACAAGAGGAAATGAGCAAGATACTTGCTTATCTGTGATATCCTGTCATGACCATTATATAATTACCCATGTCCCACTCTCCATGCAAGGATTTGCTTTTCCCAATTAATCAATTACCCAAATGATGTATTGTGAATGTAACTATGTGTTTTTATAAAAGAGACAGCAAAACCACAGATTAGAGATCAAGACACTGATGAAGGATTTTGAAGGTTTAAAGCCATCATTTGTTATGGAAGTTCTTCTGCCAATCTATTGCACAAGGTGGTCATAGGGGAGAAAATGGAGAAATGGTTCTGCACAAAGCTTTGGGATAAAGTAACAATTAAGATATGTAACTGATAAATCGGTGTCATATTAAGTGCTGAATTTTGAAGTAGCATGTTTGTTTTTCTATAGTCTGACTATAGACAATTATAGTTTAGCTATAGACAAATATACATCTATTGCCTGTCAGGCGAAGTACAAATCAAAAGGCCAGGAATAATTCTCAACAACTCTTCTGCAGGCCATTTCAAGGAAGGCCAGATGATCACTTTTTCAATAAACAAACAAGTGGTATAATCCATAATATTTCTGTCTGAAACACCATCATTTATACAATAGATGTTCTTATTTATAATAAATTCAGAACTACTGTTGCAAAGGAAAGCTACAGATTATTTCTGAATGTTTGCATTATGTTGAAAATACAATCCACTAGTTTTTTTTTTCTGATTAGGATTTAAATGTTTCCTTATTTTTATTTATACATGTGTTTTTATGAATTATAATATTGTAAAACAGAATTATACTGAATTTTTTAGGTCTATTCAAAAACACATTCTGTGAGGAACTTCCCACACATTTCCAGACTGGAGACAATGTCTGAATCTGAAAACACACTTTCGTGGATAAAATCTAAATTTTGGCACATAGTGACAACCCGTTGAATTAATTTTAGGAATCTCCACAATAGATGCTGGAATTCTGTCTAAGTATACAATGGCAACAGAATCTTGAAAGTCTGGCAGTTTTTTCTTCTTCTCTTCCCTTCTTCTTATAAGAGAGACCAGGGCTGTCAAACTCACATCCCCTGGGCCAGATTTGTCACACAATGGCCATGCCCCTGCCCGGTTTAGCAAAGGTCATGATACATCACATGACGAGCTGTGAAGATTTGAGTTTGACACCCCTGCCATGGAGGTCAAGGCAAGGTTCAATTGAGTTTCATTTTAACACATTCTTTCCAGGTTTAATTTCAGTTTCATAGTTATTGGTTTAGTTGTTGTGAGTCACCTAGAGTTCAGCTTATGATGAGTGGCCATACAAAACTTTTAAATAAATAATAAATACATAAGTCCTTGACTTATGACCACAATTGGGAGCAGAATTTCTATTGCTAAGCAACATGATTGTTAAGTGAGTTATGGTGAATTTTGCAACATTTCACCATGGTTGTTAAACAAATCACTGCCACTGGGTGAATCATATGGTCATTAAGCAAAGCTGGCTTCTCCTATTAACTTTGCTTTTTGGAAGCCAGCTGGAAGAGTTGCAAATGGCAATCACATGACCCTGGGAACCTGCAACCATTGAAAATACATAGAGGTTACCAAGTACCTGAATTTTGATCACATGGCCATGAGGAGGCTGTGACAGTTGTAAGACTGAGGGCTAGTTGTAAGTTACCTTTTTCGGTACCATTGTAACTTTGAATAGTCACTAAATGAATGGTTGTAAGTTGAGTACTACCTATAAATGGATATTCTGAAGTAGGCTTCACTGAGTTCAATGTGACCTACTCCCAGGTAATTGTAACCTTTAGAATCTCCTTTTATGGTGAGTTAACAGTTACTCTATATGTTTCTCTTTTATTGCTATTGTTTTTAAAATAGGATTTATTACCAGCTATGGATTGTACATGAATGGCACTCTGGTGCAGAATTCCTCAAAACTGACCTATTATATTTCTGGCCTTTCTCCTTGGAGTCTCCATGCCTTCAGAGTTCAAGCATGCACAGCAAATGGCTGTGCTTTGGGCCCACTGGTGAGTTCTTCCATTTACGTTCTGAGAATGCAATAAATGTCATTTGATATTGAATATCAGAGTAAATGGTGTCGATTCTCGCTGGTCAGTATTAACCCATCTGACATTTTACAAAAATGCCATTAAAAGCTGCAATGGATTCAAATAGCTTACTACTAAGCACTTTTTCAAAATATCATATAGATACAGTAAAGACAGAGACTGTGGGGAGGGGACAAATGAGAGAAAAGTGTGTATAATTGAAATTAAGGGAAGTTGATACATTTAAAAGGCACAGCTTGGTTCAATCTGATTTATAAGGACACAATTAAAGAATTACTATTCCAGGATGAGGAAAAACTTGCTAGCTCTTCTTTGCCTGAAAAGTGCTATGTGAAACATTCATAGAAGATCAAACAAATTATACATGACACCTTGAAAGATGTTGTCCAAAGTGCTACCTTGCTTTAAAAAGCTATGAATCTGAGTTTAAAATTAAATACTTAACAATGCAGTAAAGCAGCAAATGAGGCATGAGAATTTTAATATGAGTTTTTCTTCACATTGAAAGCAAACATTTTATAATTTAAATGATATTTATATTATTCTTTAATCTTAACCATTTTACAGTTTTGCGATGTTACGCTCTTGTAATACATACTTTAACAGTGTAAAATACGATTGTAATGTACAGTATAAGTTTCTTTATTATATTTCCCATGATTAAAAAACAGTTCAAGTACTATATCTTGTTGTGTCAAAAATAACATATTCTGTGCCTTTGTGAAGCTGAATTTACCCCTCCCCAGTAAAATCTGTGACATAAAACCCCCCATTTTCCTCATCTTACTCAAAACAGAGGGGAAAGTCAGGAGTACATATTCTAGCACTTCTGGCAAAATTTTACTTAACAAATCTCTCAGTTTGTAATAACACCTTCACTGTGTGAAGATTGCCCCAGGAAAGGATATCACAATTTATTTATTTTTTATTTTATCTAGAGTTTTCCATTTTCTTCACAAAATTCATTACTTTAAAATGCTAGTAATATCATCCGTTTGTAAAGCAGAATTGCGGACATGAACATTGTAGAGCTTGAATGGGACTGATGAATATTTACTCTTAAAAGCACAAGTGGCTTTTTGCCAACTTTTTTACTCTTTCTTCTCTCTTTCTCCCTCTCCCCCTCTCTCTCTGAATTATTGAGGCATTTAAGAAACAATCCACAATCCTTGTTAAATTGTTGCTGTTTGCCTTTCATATATTTCTTACTGCATAAGCCTATACATAGTGCATGAAAATTGCACAGCAATAACTGTGCTGTAGAACCACGCCCTTAAAATGTTTTCTTGATCTGTTTTAAGTTATCCCATCCTGGGTACATCATTATTTCTAAGATCACTTCCCTTGTTACATTGATGTAGTTTATTTGCTGCTTGCAATATCTCTTCTGATAATACAGTGCTTTCAGCATACAGGTCCTCCTCTTCATAATAGAAAATTGCAGTTTACCTAATTATTACTATCAGCCTGAATCAATGTACTGAAGCATAAAAACTCATTCTTTAAAGTTATGCATTATGATTGATTGTGCTAGTTCTGTGCAGATTGGTAGATAGATCTCGGAATCGAGGCCAAGAGGGAGGTAGTGACTCCAGAGTCAACCAATCAGCTTCTCTGAATAAGGACAAATACTGTACCTTAACTGTCACTTAACTGCTCAGTGATTATCTGTATTACTTTCTCAAACAAAACAAAAAACAACCCCACTCTATTTTTCTGACCAGTGACACTTCCTAGTCACAAAAACTGAAATATATTTCTATTTAAGAAACACAGACCTAACTACAGTACTACCAGGATATTAAAGTACCAGAAGCACATTTGATTTTATAAAGTATTTCTCTTTGTCTTTACCATTTATAACTTAACTCTCTGATTCCTTTTTAATAGAAACAAGGGCATCTCTCAACAGTAAAGTGATATTCTGCTTCTGGGTATTTTTATTACAGATCTTTTATTTAATGTGCCAGGAGTAAAGATTTGTATTCCTAGATTTGAGAATTGCTCTTGCATAATATTTTAATTTTTTTCCAAAGAAGTGGCATGTGATTTCAGATTTAGTGAAAAGCTAAGAAATTTATAATTAAGAATATTAACTTGTATTTAAACAGAATATTACTTTAAAATCTGAGCACGTTTCAATAGACTATTTATGGAAATAATTGATATTACTTCTTTTTAACTAATGTAATACATCCTGACTAGAGGATTTGTCTGAAATATAAATGAGAGATATAATGTAATGATGTGAGAAATAATGTCAAATATATTTTGAACACTATTGAGGTAAACATGGAGAAAATAAAAGCAAAACAGAATTTATCTGAAGAAGAAAAGCAATATCTGCACCAAATAACAGAATTTAATATCACTATTAAACCAGTTAAATACCTAAAACTGTACTTAATGAAAAACAATAAAGACTTGCTTAAAAGGTAACTTGGAGACTTAATGGAAGATATTATAAGATTGAAAAAAAATTAAACTTGTTCTGGTAAGGTAGAATATTAGCAATAAAAATGAATGTTTTACCAAGGATTAATTTTTTATTCCAAATTATTTCAGAGAAAATTGAAGATAAGGTATTAAATAAGTGGCAAAAACAAATAATAGAGATTATATATTCAAACAATAAACCTAGGAATAAACTTTAGACATTAACACATCTTATTGAATGTTATTGTTATTGAACTAGCACGATTGGATTACAGACTGGTTTCTATAACTCTACAATGGGGTTACCAGTAGTGATGGAGCAGGAATATCAAAAGGATTACATATCTTTGGTTGGATTCAAACAGAATGTTCAAGGTGTAAAGTATAAATTCAAGTATAAATAGTAAAAATATGGAATAAATACATAAATTCCTTCTACATGGAGTGAAGTATGCAGTAGGGTACCCCAAGGCTCTGTCTTAGGCCCAGTACTGTTCAATATCTTCATCAATGATTTAGATGAGGAGATAGAAGGGGAACTCATGAAATTTACAGATGACTTCAAGCTGGCTGAAATAGCCAACATTCCAGAATAAAGGCTCAAGATACAGAAAGATCCTGACAGAATTGAACATTAGGCGCTATTTAACAAAATAAAATTCAATGGTGAAAAAAGTCAGATTCTACATTTAGCAAGAGAAACCAAATGCACAGATATAATATAGGTGGTACCTAGTTCATAATAATAATTGCAAGTGGGATCTTGGAATCCTAATGGACAATCATGTAAATATGAGCCAAAAGCCAACATAGTTCTACACTACATTAACAGAAGAATAGAATCAAGATCAAGTGAAGTGTTAGTACCACTTTATAATGCCTTGGTAAGGATATTGCATCCAGTTTTGGTCATCATGATATAAAAAAGATGTTGAGACTCTGGAAAGAGTGCAGAGAAGAGCAACAAAAATAATTAGGGAACTGGAGGCTAAAACATATGAAGAACAGTTGTAGATACTGGTTTTGTCTAGTTTAATGAAAAAAAAAGTGTAGTGAAAAGAAGAACCAGAGTTGACATAATAGCAGTGTTCCAATGTCTAAGGGGCTTCTATAAAACAGGGTGTCACCCTATTTTCCAAGAAGCAATGGATGGAAAGTAATCAAGGAGAGAACCAATCTAGAATTAAGGAGAAATTTCCTGACAGTTAGAACAATTAATAATTGATTTGCCTTGCCTTTAGAAGTCATGGCTGCTTCAACATTGGAGGTTTTAAAGAAGAGATTGGACAATCATTTGCCTAGGCGGGGGGCTGGACTACAAGACCCCCAAGGTCCTTTCCAATTCTGTTTTTCTTTTAAAAAGATTAAACTAGGGTTTGCTAGCCCTTGCCTCACTGTTAGACATTAATTTTCAAAAAATTTAACAGTCTGTGCTGACCAATTGGTCTCCCATCTTCACCCGAATCTCAATAGATCACTAGAGATTTGCTATGTTCCTTCCTGCTTCAAATGGTCTACTATCATTGCAGTGCCAAAGAAGCCTCCATATATATGAATATCTGAAACTTTTATCAGTTCCATTTAACTAACACTTTCTTCTTTCTTCTATTGGAGAGAGAGAGAGAACATTCAAATTATTCATATGTTTTTCTAGATATAACCAACTTCTACATAATGAGATGGGCAAAAGTATTCTCTTACACCATTTTTGCTTCTTTCAACAAATATTCATTCACAGTAACAGGCCAAATATTACCTGTTGCTTTTTATAAGCTTTTGCACTCAGTATTTTGAAATTTTCTTCATCCATTTTTCCATCAAGTAAACGCATTACAAAAAAACACAACTTCATATACCTGCTCTAATTTTTCATCATTTACATATAACTTACAATAATTTACTCTGTTTTCTTTATCATTCATAACAAGTTTGGTCTTTTATATATACATTTTCAGGATTATACATCAAATTAAAATTTACTATAATGGGTTCTTAATAACACATCTACATTAGGAAGTAAAGATACAGTTCTGTCTTCAACCAATACATCCCTGATGTCACCAGAAGCATCTCTTGCACTTTTATTTTAATAAATACATTAATAAATAAATACATATTCTAGTCTCCTTAATAGTTACACATTTCTTAATAATTTCACTTATTCTCATGTTCACTTCAATTCCATAATATACTATTTGGTTTGTTGCAACCAAACTTCCAGTTTATATTTATATTTGTGCAAAATTTTCTTTGCATATCATTTACTTAAATCATAATATGTGCATTGTGCAATAAACTTTCCATCGCAATGATCACCTACAGAACCAGAATCCTTTGTAAAGCTGCCTTAAACTTCACAAATGTTGGTCATCAACATTTTTTGGAATCAGAATTCTACCATATTTATAAACTCTGTAGCTCTTGCATCCACTCTTAAGACATTTCCCTTTCTATGGAAAAACAATAATGGCATTCTTCCAATCCTAGGCACAGATGCTGCCTTCATGAATATGTTAAACATGTCACACAGCCACTATACAAGCAAACCACAGCCATATTTTTACTTTTTTTTCAAGCAATCCTGCCAACATCTGTAATAGTATCATTTTTCAACATTTCCACAGTGTTTATGATTTACATGTCATTATTTTTTCGTAGAGACTAACATTTATTGTTTTTGTTTCAATTATATAATTATACTCTTCAGCATATTATTGTTATTCCAATACAAATTTCAAATGTTCTTTCCATCTTTCTCTTATTTCAGTTTCATCCAAAATAATTCCACCACTTTTATTTTTAATTCCATTCATTCTACTGGAATTTCCTTGTTTAGGAATTCAGAAAACTTTTTAAAAAATTGTTTATTTATATACAGTATGACATTCTAAATCTTGTTCTCCTTGCACAGTTCCATACAGCAGCCTTAAACTCTTCCATTGCTGTAAATAAAGTCAGTTTAAGAACACATAGTCTGGGTGTCATGCCTTATCACTGATACTGATCAGATGTTCTGTCTGGGTGGAGATTTCATGACCCCCAATTGATGGTTTCCTCTGCTTCTTTCCTCCCCCTAGCCATGCCAGGAATGCAAGTAGCAATTGGTTTTTTTCCATATGACTTGTTTTTTTAGTGCATATGTTTTCCATTTTTGTGAGTCACCACCATCCCGCAATCATGGAAAGCGTACTCATAAAAAGGACTGTAAAGATAATCTGATCCAAGCACCTGCTTGGTATAGGAGATATTAATAATAGGGATGATGAAAATTTTCACCCCTCTATTAGTGAATTAGTGGGAGGAAAATGTAGCAATGGTTATAAATGATATCTAGCAATTAGTAGGATAAACTAGTAAATTGCTGTCAATTCATTCTAGTCCTGCTCAGAAAGATTAAGTTAGAAAAATGTCAGACAGTATCACCCACTGGATTAATTTGCAACTGGCTGACAAACCATACACAATGTGTAGTTCTTAATGGAACTGCATCTACATGGAGAGAAGTAAATAGTGGGGTACTCCAAGGCTCTGTTTTAGGGCCAGTAGTCTTCAATATTTTCATAAATGATCTAGATGAGGTAATAGAAGAGGAACTCATACATATTTGCAGATGACACCAAGCTGGCAGGAATAGCCAACACCTCAGAACATAGTTCAAGATCCAAAAGGATTTTGACAGACTTGAACACTGGGCCCTATCTAACAAAATAAAATTCAGTGGTGACAAAAATAAGATTTTACATTTAGGCAAGAAAAACCAAACGTACAGGTATAAAATTGTTGGTACCTGGCTTAACAGCAGCAACTGTGCGAAGGATCAAGTAGTCGTAGTAGACAACCACTTAAATATGAACCAGCAGTATGTGGTAGCTGTCAAAAAAAGTAAATGCAGTTGTAGGCTGCATCAACAGAGAGATAGCATCAAGATCACAAGAAGTAATGGTACCACTCTATACTGCACTGGTGAGGCCATACTTGGAATAAGTCTGTCCAGTTCTGGTCGCCATGATAAAATAAAGATGCTGAAGTCCTAGAAAGAGTGCAGAGAAGAGTAACAAAATGATAAAGGGTTTGGAGGCTACACTGTACAATGAATGTCTTTGGGAATTAGGCCAATAGCTGTCTTCTAGTACTTGACAGAATGTCATTGAGAAGAGAGGGTCAACTTATTCTCTAAAGTACCTGAGGGCCAAACAAGAAGCAATGGGTGGAAGCTCATTAAAGAGAGATCCAATCTGGAATTAAAAAGAAATTTACTAACAGTGAGAATAATTAATCAGTGGAATGGCTTGCCTCCTGGAGTTGTGGCTGTTCCATCACTGGAGGTTTTCAAGAAAAGATTTAACAACCATTTGTCCAGGATGCTTTAAGATCTCTTGACTTGGACAGAAGATTGGATTAGAAGACCTTCAAGGTCCCATCCAGCCCTATGATTCCCTTCTACTCTGTTCTTACCAATAGCCTAAGTTATCAGATCATTCCTACATGTGCAAGTTGCACAAATCTGTGCTAATGGTGTGGAGAATACTGGACCTTATCTTCCACAAAGCAACCAGGAAAAGCTGAGAAACAAGCTGTCATGCCCCTGTTGGAATCTGATTCTGAGGGAGAGGCCAAGCAACTGACAGGGAGTGGAAGTGTGGCTCCAGTTGCTGTGGAAGAAACTGGGGAAAGGTAAAGTCCAGCTGGGCAGAGCAGGGAAGAGGTAGAGCAAGACAGAGGTAGAGCAAGGCAGAGGTAGAGCAAGGCAGAGGGAATTCAGAGGAAGATCCAGGCCTACCCCCTCTTCATCCTAGGGCACACAGGGAGGAACGGAGAAGGAAGCAACATGAGTTGCATGGCTTACAGGGGAGGAAAGGACCCTGATGCCCTTCATTATCTGCAGCTGGGAACAGTGTTTAAAAAGAGAATTTGCGCACAGCAACTCATGAGAAGCAAATCGTGAGTTATCTTTTATGGTCAAGGCTTATCTGGGTTCCTGGCTTCTTCCCAACTGTGTATGTTTTGTTGGCCTTTGAATTCTGCAATTCCTTATCCTGCCCTGTCCACTTAATTGCTGCAGTATAGTTTGTGTGGATTTTTATTTATAGTTTATATGTACTTTGTTTTTGGACTGAATTTCCTTCATTTAAAGACTGTTCTTGGGAGAGATTTTTCTCCAGCCAAGGGTAACTAGACATTGGGGGCAAAGTTGGAAGTATTAAAGGGACTTTTCTTATGTGACTGTGTTGCCTTTGTGCCACGCCCTGGGTCATCATACAAGCTATTCTTCCCCATTCCAGTGCTTGAATGTAAGGTTTTGCTTTTTTATGAATGAAGCTAGGAGGCCCCTGTTATTTACCTAAGCAGCCTAATAAATCATTTGAGGATGGATGTAGAAACCTGTAATGAATATACAGGACATCCTTCCAGATCTATTGGAACTGTAATTCTGAAGTTACAGTGTATACATGTGAATGCTTTAATTAATATAGAAAATCAGGTGTTTCCAGGAGAATTAGCAAGAAGAATTGGACTGGAACCCAAAGGTAAGGCAGACCCAGGACTTTAAACCAAGGCAAATAGTCAGCAGAACAAAACAAAGACATCTCAGAAAATGCTTATAAATGACGTCTAGTATCTGTTTCTTGTCAGAATCATTTTTATGGATCTCTGCTTAGGTAGCATTCTTCTATGGTTATATGGAAAGACTCTACAGAACTGCAAAAATGGTAGCTGGCTATGGGCCTGAAAACTAATGGAAATAGCTGCACAACAAATATTCCCAGTTTTTGTCTCAGAAGATGGGTAGTATTTTGAAATGTTCAGTAGGAAATAGTGATAATAATGATAATTGATATTAATATTCATTCCACTTCCATACTCCAGATGAACAAAGAAAATATTGTAATAGGTTTCCTGTCCATCTCACATAATTTTATTATTTGGATAGTTTTAATATGTTTGTTTGTGTTCAAAGGTAAGTGTAATATCTTTCTTAGCAATGTATTTAGATATAGAAATTTACATTAGATGTAGCAAAGAGAGTGGAAGAAAACATATGTGATAGGTGCAGCACTGATAGATTACAACATAATATTCTCTTTCTTCTCTCTTTTATTACAGGTAAAAGTTCGTACAACTGAAGATGTACCTGAAGGAAACATTGAACTATTTGTAATTAATGATGGAACCAAAGAAGTTAAAGTGAAATGGTTTCCTCTGAATGAACCCAATGGGCAAATAACGTATACTGTACTTTTCACTGGAATCTTTTACACTGACAAAGGTATTTCCATTTTGATACATTACTGGAGAGCTGAAGTTTTAGTTGCTCCTTAAGATGTTTACAGAATATACGTTTTATTAAGACATGAATCTGATATTGCTTCAATTTATAGCATAGAAACACAAAAGCAACGGAATTGTTTAAAGTTAAAAAAAAACCTGAAAACATTGATTTTGATGGAACTTGAAAATATGATGTTTGGTCTTCAGCAATGATTCACAAAAGTTGGTTCATACTTACAAGTATACCATCACCAATCTACCTAGGGAGAAATCACCTTTCTAGTAGAATGGTTTAGTAATCAATGTATTACTGTGTTGAATTATATCCATCCATAGAAAAAAGAGCTTAACATACACACGACTAGGTTAAATTGACTATAATGGACCTATTCAAATTATATCTGTGTCTCGATTATATTTATTTATTTAATTTAATTTTTAAGGCCGCCTGACCCATTAACAATTCTGAGCAACTTACAATTATATCATAGTAATATGTTCTTATTTAATCCTGCATAGTGCCATGAATAAATTAATTCTCCATAAAGGAAATTTGCTTCTAACTCTACAGTTTGTTGCTTAGATTAATTCTTTTGCACTGGTGTTTTTTATGGTGCTCAACATCTTTTGTCATTATTATTATTTATTTTATTATTTATTAATTTTTATATAGCAAAATACTAACAATAAGATATTACATCTAGCATTTTCACATATATTTTTTTCTTTCAGATTACTTTGGGTAAATTATTTGGCTAAAATGTGTGAGTCATTTTGTTTAAAAAATATTTTCATTTTACCTCTGTAACAAAGTTTTACCACTTTGAATATCATGTAGGAAGACTGATTGGAGATCTGAATTTAGTAGATCTGTTCCAGCTTCCACAAAAACTATTTCTTATTTTGCCACTATTATTTTACTGAGTAATTTCAGAGGAATAATTATTTTATGACCGATTTGTTGGATTGAGAGTTGCCATCATTTGTTTTATTCCCCCCCACCCCAAGATTAGCCCTAACCCTAAGATTTTTTTCCTTGTGGTCACCAGAAACTATGCTATATTTTATCCTTGTCAATACTTCAAAACAAATAATAATAATAATTTGGGGGAGTGGGGATGGCAGCCATAATGAAAAATAGTGAATAATATTTGGAAAAAATATAAGTTGATTTCATGAAAATAAATCTGTTTTTCAGGAGAGGGATCTTGTTTTGGAAAAATAATATTCTTCCTGTCTTTTATAAGGTGATAGGTTTGATGGTTCTTCTGTAAAATACTTGTAGGATTATAAGGTGAGAGAATGATGAGGGGATGGATAGAGGACCAACATTTTGGTAGGGCTTGTGACAGTTAAGTCATTTCCACCAAGGCAGCAGGGTGAATAATTCAGAAATGATATTCCCCTTTGTGTTTAATTTTGCATTTTTCCCCCCTCTGGAAAAAAAATCCTCTTCTAAGTCATGTCATTCCTGGTTGTCACCCCACCTCTCAGACCATCAAAACTATATTAAATGTTGCAAAGCTGTGTGGCAAGCGAACTTTCAAAAGTCACAACCTATTTGCAGATCAGCCCTTGTAGAAAATGTATTCTGTTCTCGGCAGAATTTTCCTTCAGTTCTTTCCACTGAGAAGTTTACTGATTTCTCCCAGTGGAATTTGCTGGAATTTATCGGTTCATGGTTGGCAGTCACAGATTAAGGTAAATGTCGATCCGTAATGACCTTCTACATGTTAGTATTGCAGTAAAGCTGGGCTTTTATGTCAAAGATATCGGAGAGGGAGCTATTACACATGACAGGGGTGATCAAGGGACTCCAGACCAAGGCAAGCATTATTAAATATTGACTAGTTGTGTGATTTATGTAGAGCTGGAGGAAAAAAGTGACTTTTTAACCATTATATATTCTTCAGCAATGAAAACCACCCATTTATCTCTTGCTGGTAATAAAGCACACAGTGCCTGCATATTTTAGTGTAGAGGCTGGTGGGGGGGCACATGGGCTTATAAATGAGATGGGCTCTTCCCTGATAACATTTCGGTTGGTTAATTGCCAAGAGCAAAACAAGTCCATTGGAAGCAGAGACAAGTTTTGACTTGGGAAACTCCTCTGTTGCTTCAGGTCTGTGAATAAAGAGGATCGGGGAGAACTTATTTGAGAAATGGATTCCAAGAGAAATGTTCTCATTTTTTTTCTCCCATGCTAGAATAGAATAGAATAGAATAGAATAGAATAGAATAGAATAGAATAGAATAGAATAGAATGTTGGTGCATATGCTCTCGGTGTACATAAAAGAAAAGATACATTCATCAAGAGTCAAGAATCATCAGGCACAACATTTAATGATAGTCATAGGCTACAATAAGCAATCAAATCATACTAGAAACAGTCAATATAAATCATAAGGATACAAGGGACAAAGTTATGGTCATACAGCCACAAATGGGCGGGAGGGGTGATAAGGAGTGATGAGAAGATTAACAGTAATAGTGTTGTGTCCCTGCCCAACCACAGCCCCAGCCTGGGCTGCCATGTCCCAAGCTAAGGGGGAAGGGGTGTTGTGTCCCTGACAGTTTCCGTTATGTCTTTTGAACTGGTTGGGGTTTCCCAACCAGGTCCGCCGTTTGAGCGGGAACTCCAGCCGTTCCCATTGGCTGGCTCCGTTTGACAGTCGGCTATAAAAGCCGGCTGTCGGGCAGAGCCAGCCAAGCGAATCGAGCGGAGCGCGGACTAACGGGCAGCGCTCGCAAGAGCTCTCGCCCCCGGGCTGCCCGCCCGGCCGGGGCAGTTCTCACCATCTGGGCTACCCGCCCAGCCGAGGCAGCTATCGCCCTCTGGACTGCCCGCCCAGCCGGGGCGGCTACAGACCTTCCGGACTGCCTGCCGAGCCGAGGCGGCTAACACCTCCCGGGCTGCCTGCCCAGCCGAGGCAGCCATCGCCTCCCGGACTGTCTGCCCAGCCGGGGCAGCTAACGTCACCCGGACTGCCTGCCCAGCCGAGGCAGCCATCGTCTCCCAGACTACCAGCCCAGCCGAAGCAGCCATCGCCTCCCGGACTGCCTGCCCAGCCAGGGCAGCTCTCGCTCTCCGGGCTGCCTGCCCAGCCAGGGCAGCCGCGTCAACCTGCTATGTTTAAATAAATTGTGTTAGCCTTCAGCTCCGTGTCTGCCTCGTGTGCCATCCCAACGACTACACAACAAATAGTAGTGCAGAATTTGTAAACAGTTGAACAGTGTTGAAGGAATTATTTGTTCAGCATAGTGATGGCGTTCAGGAAAAAACTGTTCTTGTGTCTAGTTGGTGTGCAATGTTCTATAGCGTCATTATGAGGAAAGGAGTTGAAATAATTTATGTCTGGGATGTGAGGGATCTGTAAATATTTTCACAGCCCTCTTTTTGACTTGTGCAGTATACAGGTCTTCGATTGAAGGCAGGTTGGTAGTAATAGTTTTGTCTGCAGTCCTAATTACTCTCTGATGTCTATGTCTGTCCTACTGGGTTGCAGAACCAAACCAGACAGTTATAGAGGTGCAGATGACAGACTCAATCCTTCCTCTATAGAACTGGATCAGCAGCTCCTTGGGCAATTTGACAAATTGGGTTGGCGCAGGAAGGACATTCTTTGTTGTGCTTTTTTGATGACGTTTTTGATGTTAGGTGTCCATTTTAGGTCATGTGATATAGTAGAACCCAGAAATTTGAAGGTCTCTACTGTTGATACGGTGTTGTCTAGTATTGTAAGAGGTGGTAGTATGGGAAGGTTTCTTCTAAAGTTTACCACCATTTCTACAGTTTTGAGTGTGTTCAATTCCAGATTGTTCCGGTTACACCACGAGGCAAGTTGTATAGCCTCCTGTCTGTATGCGGATTTGTCGTTGTCTTGAATGAGACCAATCACTGTTGTATTATCTGCAAACTTCAATATTTTAATAGGTGGATGAATCTTTATTTTAATAGATGGATAGAATCTTTGTTTGGCAACGCTAAATAGATAGATAGATAGATAGATAGATAGATAGATAGATAGATAGATAGATAGATA